TAAAATAAAAGAACATTTTCATAAAAACAGCAGAATAAATGAAGCTATAAAATCCCCAGATCCTAAATGTGATTTATTTTTTTATGTGAAACATAAGTTAGAGCTAAAGTATACCTCTGGCCCAGTGCACAGGATACAGATGCTTCCACAATGAGCCAGCCTTGGCCAACTCTGACCATGCGCTGCACACTTGACTACAGCGACACAAATCAGCAGGACCCAAGTAATGGAAAAGTCTCAGCATCACTTCTGCAGGAAGCTGCGAGATGTGGGTTGAAGAACTTTTACTCTGTTCCAGATCTGAGAAAAGAGAAAATCAAGCCTTTATTAGCTAATGCATATAAAGATGCATTACATTCTTTAAAAATAAAAAAATAAAAGATAAAACCCTATTTACCATAGTCTGTCTTCTCATGATCAGCATATTTAAAAGCCTTTTGAAGCTCTTCAGCCTGTGTCCACAGACTAAAGCCTTTCAGCACCTCGGCGGCGCAGTCCAGCTGCTGTTGGTTGCAGTGCTGCGCTATCACCTGTTTCTTAATGTCCTTCAGCTCCTCATATGTGAAGTATTGCATAAGCATTGGTTGAAACACCTGGAACACATCTGACTAGTTAAAAAGCAGCTTGCAGTAGAGAAATGCATTGAGCTACATTTCACAATGTCAACAATAAACTTTGACAATCATTACAGACACAGATCAATAAAACATCTGTAAAATAAACAAAAATCTGAGCGTCCTCTACCTCTTCTTCCTCCTTCATGTGGGGCAGGAAATCTTGTGTAAAAGCTTCCAGTTTCTCCTTCAGCTGCTGTGCATAGTTAAGCTGCTCATATTCACTCTAGAATCAGAAATTAATAGTTAATCTGGGGGTTGTTAATCTTAAACAAAAACCTTTCTCCGCAATTCATTGTCATTTTTATTCTGTTAAAAAATGACAATTTTAGATTGTTGGCAAAAGGCAGTGATGTACAGTGTTGAATTTAAGGAAGTTCTGGCTTAAAGAAACAGTGAAATGTTTGTTGCCATTAGGTTTCTGAAGCTGGATTATTAGATATTTTAATTAGCCTCCCATGACCCAGTGTTCCATATCTTTTCTTTAAACAGAGCAAAAATCAAACATATTTCAAGTATTTATAAATATATCAGAGCAGAACTGTTTATCTCTACGGAACAAATCTTATTTTGGAAAGGAAGCAGGATCTCAATCCAAACCAAAATGAGGTTTTTGTTTAAAGCAACCAGCAAAGCGGAAGCTCCGATTTACAAAACATTTATCCAGAACATTTAGCTGTTGCTTTTTCCTCACTGCTCTATTTTCATAAAATCCTGAGAGACAAAAGAAAGAAAAAAATCTCTTAAAACCCCAAGCTAAAGTTTTGTTTTAAAGGATGGCTACGAAATAATTGGAACAATTGATTATATCATATGAAAAAACACACGTTAATTCAAAATTGTTTCACAAACGGCATGTTTTTTGTTGTTGCAAAACAACAAAAAACAGGTCTGATGCCGTTGTTTTTGCATGGCAGAGGTTGTGTGGTAAATATAATAGTAAATTTAATAACACAGTGGTAACCCACCATTAGCTGAGCAGTGCTTATTTCTGCCAAGCCATCATTTGAGTACAAGTGCCACTTACAACCTGGACATCACATTAAAATAGCCTAGGTAATTCTAAATCACATATTCTCAGTTTTGTTTTTTGTTGTTTTCTACTGTGCAGTCTAACTTTTTAATGTTGGTCTTTTTAATAGAATCTTGCATCTTCAGCCTACTGCTTCTTTGCCATTGAATTTCCCCACAGTGGGACTTATAAGTCGTAGGGAAACAGATGTTCCAACCGTTGCATTTCTGAATTCTCCCGAGTGGTGCCCGACTTTCCACGAGTAAATAAAGTGAATGTGATTGATCGTTTATCAAGGGGGCGGGATTTTTGTGGTGGAAGGTTTGCAAGCAAGTTTGATTGTGGCTGCTGTCTCAAAAGCATCTTGCTAACAAGTTAGCAACTTAGTGCTAGTAGGTTCCCAAAGGGAAATTACATCGGGACCAAGTGGCACTGAATTGGTGACTGAAAAACGACACTGTCAAGGAACGCTATGGACAGAAGAAACATGCAAGAGGAGGAGAGTTTTGTGTCAGGGGTCCTGGATGACTCTCCTCCGTCATACATTTTTTATTTAGAGGAAAGCGGGGATGAAGATGTTGTGGAAGAGGACGCCAAGGCAGCAGAAGCTTGGTTTGGTGTAGAAGGCTTCAAGCCGTACATGTTTGAGCCCTTGCCTCGCAACGCTGCCAGTTCTGTTAGCTCTACGCCTGCCGAAGACACAGACTTCCATCCCCATGAACACTGGGAGGTAACTCAATGGTAAAGGAAATGATTCTTATTTAAATAGTTGTGTATATTAGCTGCAACATATGAATCAAGATGCTATAAAAATGTGATTGACAGATGACCGTTGATATATGATTGGCCGAATTTAGGAGTACAAGCTGATGCATAACTAATTGGCCTGCTAAATTTTGGGACAATATATTCTGATAAAGAGTACATTAATATACGTGTTTAAGCCAGAATGATCTGACATTTAAATAAGACTTCCCAATGACTTAAAGGCCTACTTGTCTTATATTCACCTTAACACTCTGCAGTCCCTTTTCAAAGAGGGACAGCATCTCTGACAGCTTGTTGTCAGAGTGAACATTGTAGACAGTGCAGCACCGCTGCTGCAACAGACCGATGATATATTCGTTTTCAATTTGCTCATGCATCTTGAACTCCTTGAAGGTGACGCATAGGGACTGAAGAAAGGATCGGAAGTCATTGTTGTTGGAAAAGTTGGTTTTGGACAGCTGTGGAGAAAACAAAGCAACAACAGAAAAAAGGTCGGGAATTATTAAATGCAAACTTTATTCTAGCGGAACTGCATTAATCGCGAACCCACAGATAGCTTCAAACATCATAATAACAGATGCTTTACATAAGTTGGAAGCATGCATAACATGACAGCTGTGTTTTGCAACCACGGTCGCTTAGGTTAGCAGTGCATTACCTGCCATCATAAATGAGCTTATCAGACACAGGAAGCCTGCTTTCAAATCCCATTATTATAGTCAGCCCTGTCTTATGAAACACTTAGATTTGGATGTCACATTTAGAACACGTTGCATAACAAAACATACTGCACATCAGGCTAGCAAAGTAAGCTGCGCACCAGTTATGTAGAAAGTTTAAACATTGATGATAAGAAACGTAGCATAGAATTTACAGCCCATCAACTAAATAAGGCCAAAGAGACACAAACTAAAAACCTCAGATAGTCGGACTCACTGACAAACAAACAAGCTAACGCCAGTTAGCTAGCGTGCTAGCTGGCCGTCCACACCCCTGTGAACCACAGGGCGCTGCTTTTTGTTCAAAACAACTAAACATATTGGAAGTCCTTTTCTTTATACCCACCTTGTCGCAGTACAGACCCACCAACTGCTTCATTCGCCAGTGTGGGCCAGTAAAAACATCCACTTCGTCAGGAAAAGGGGCCATATTCAATGACTGGTCCTCACTGCGTCATCTGCTGTGATAATCAAACGAGGAGGTGTGACGGAGTGTGCGCGAGCCAAGCACGTGACCACACGGCGAAAGAGCGGGTTTTACGGTAAACAAGCCGTTTAATGGTTTATATGAGTGTAGATCACATAAAACTACGAAATAAATTAAATGCATGAAATAAAATAAATGTATGACCGGACTATATACCGGACTATTTTTTACTTTATTGATAGCTTTAGACTTAGACAGACTTTATTATCTTTTTGTATACACAGAATGTATACAAGATATTCTGCATATTAGTTACAGTTCCAACATTCATGTTCTTTTGTTGTTGTTTTTTCGTCAGATCTCATCAGATCTCATTTTGATCTGGAGAAATCTACTCGTTACATCGGCTCAAATAGTCAAAACGAAGGCGCAATACTTTATATACAGTATATACAGTACGTCAACACACACATATATATATAGATAGATATATCTGTCTATAAATATATGTATCTATATATAGATACATATATTTATAGA